TGTTGTAATCACGCTATCTTTCAAACGAATTGAGATAGAAGTCTAAAATTTTGTACATAAGTGTATGGCAGTAGGCAGGTTCGTAAATAGGTCATATCGGTCCACGTTTTCGTATAGCCCCCCAATTTCGTATTGGAAGATGTCCTACTAAAGCCTCTGATAAAAAATTGCGTTTGCAGGTCCTCCACATTTCGTATAGCCCTCATATAACGGTACCTCCCAACATTCGGAATTTTTATGGTATTAAAGACTTTATAGAATAGAATTGTTTCAAATTTCGTATTTAAAGTTCGCAATGTTTACTACAGCCCATGACAAACATTTGCGTATACAGGTCGACCCCTTCCTATATAACGATACATCCCAATATTCCTTATTTTCATGAATTTAGATACATTATTCACCGGAATTGTTATTTGTTATTTTTTTATATTTCGTATTCGAAGTTTGTAATGGATACTTCAACCTATGGCAGAAAATTGTATATGCAGGTTCACCCCGTTCTTTCGATATTTTGATAATATTTGCGACATTATCCAACGGAATAGTTTTAAATTTCGTATTTGAAGGTCCGTATGCAGGTGCGTATGCAGGTCCTCGCCTTCGTATAGCACGGTTCAGAAACGATTTTCATTTAAAGGGTATTTTTCGATAAAGTTTTTTTTTTAAGTTTTTCCAGTTCCTTCCAAATTGTGGTTGAAAGTTCGGCCTGGCCGAACTTAGGTGCTTGTTTATTTGTTACTAGATACATTAATAGCTTTGGCAAAGCTTTTGACTGATCTTCACTAAAAAATCTACAATTCTGTTTATTTCTGTTTACTTCATTGCGACAAAAATGAGCTTCGTCGCTAATCGCAATTTTTTTATATAATGTGGATCTTCGGTCAACTTTCCAAGAAAATTTTTCAAAAATTTTGCGTTGCAGTAGGTCTTTTGCAAAAATATAATTGCAAAAATCACTCCTTAGTAAGGTATAGCGTACTTGCAGACCTCCAAAAAAATGTTATCGAATTTGAAGAAAAGTGAAACTCAGTCGAATTCGAGCGGAAGGACTACTGGGAGCAGAAAAAAAATCAAGTAAACTCAATTTTGAGAGTTGAGGGAGTTGAGCATGTTTTTCGCCTCATCCTTCATCTTCTCATTTTTTTGAAAGTTTTAAAATTGTTTGGATCTCCATAAAGTATGCTATAGAAATGTGAAAAAGTCACTTTACATATGACTCTACCATTCAATTCCTTATTAAGGTAACGTGATTAGAACAAACAGACAGATATCGCTAAATCGACTTAGAGTTTAACATTGTAGGAGGTAACGTGATTATTTCGAGGAGTTACAAACATAAAGTTAATATGTCTCCTTAGAATGGTGGACGGTGTACAAAATGTGTGTATGGCTCCTAAAAGTATGCCATGAAAATGCTTAAGATAAATGTGGAAATTCCACTTTTCACATGACTCTAACATGATGTGTGTGAGCTTGCCTTAAGATTATAGATATTCCAACATAAGCTTAGCTGAAATCAGATTTAACAAAAATAAAAGTTGGGTTTATGAATAATCCTTTTAAAAATTGCTTTAAACTAGTCATACTATTCTTTATAATTTTGTAAATAAAAACTATGTACAAATATTACAAAAATATTGCTCTGTTTCAGAAACTGCAAGGATTTTGCCTTTTTTTGGAAAAAATAAAAGTCGTCTATCGTAATAAAAACTTTTATATTCTTGCCGTTCTGAAACAGACCCAATATATATATATATATATATAATAATTTTCAACTATTTTTTTGCAACATCATCTATCTCCATCTATAGCTTCAGTTTTCTTTGCTTCTGCTAAGCAATGATCGTTTATCTGCTGCTGTACAAAAAAAAAAAATATTAAAAATTTATATATTTTTGGGTTTTTATTAAAAAAAGAGACTTTAAAACAATTTTGTTGGGGAATTTTGGAAGAAAAATCGATAATTTGTTAACATTACAAAAATGAGTGTTGTGTCTGTCCCTGTTTTTATTGTCAAAGTGCGTTATTTTATTGTAAATTTTTTATATAAAATCATTTTATTTACATTTGCATAAAAGAGGGGTATTTGTAAAACTCATTGGCATTCATTTTAGTTTTAAGATTTTTTGTATTTAGAAAAATAATATACATAAAGAAAATGCTCTTCAAATCATAAATACATATGTACATAAATGCTACAGATGATGAGGTGAATCAATTTAAAATTTAATTATATTTTTATATTATATAAAGTTACACTATATATTTTTGAATTCCATCCAATTCTAAATGCTAAATTTAGAGGTTATCCCAAGTCAAAGTAAGCAAAAGTTTCTGATAATTGCCTTTTTCGTTTCAGTAATATAGAAATAAAGTATAAAAATGTTTTCAAAAATTACAGGGAAAATCCAGCAGATTATGAAAGTAAAGCCGAAAACCTGAAGACATGTCTCTTTGGTCTTTTTTCCAAATATGGTTAAAAACTTCCTTTAAACGGGATCGTAAGACGTTAAAATATTTTACAAAATTATTTATCGTGAAATTCTACTATAGGTCCTAGAAGACACCAAAACTCTAAATTTTTCTTAAACGCCTGGAATTCATATATTTAATTTCAAACACATTTAGGGCAAAAGCCGTACTTTGTGTGAGTTTTTGCAAAAATCTCCAAAAAGCACCATTTTAAAAGGATGATGTCAAATTTCACTATAAGTCATCAAAGACAAGAAATTTCTATTTCCATTATAAAAAATATTTGCATCAATGTTACCAAAAAACCAAAAATATTTCGTATTTTTATACCCGATTTACACATGTCAGTCCGTCCGTCTGTCCATGTATTCTTGTGGACAAATGAAATTTTCCATACAATAATTGTTTGGCCCAAGGACGAAACCTATTGAAAATGATGTGAATCGGTTCAAATTTGGATATAGCTCCCATATATAAAAAATCAACCGATTTCGGGTTAATTGTTTACCAAATGGCCAATATCAGTCCAAATGATCTGAATTTTGGCACATCCGACCGAATTCAGCAAGCAAGTGCATTAAATCTGCTCAGATATAGCTATAGCTCCCATATATATGTTTCATCCGATTTGGTGTTTAAGTCCCTCACATTCGTAATATGCACTCCACAAGAATGATATTTGATGCCAGGTTTCGGACACAGCCCAGAAATACCTCTGCCAAATTTTATCCGATCTTGATAAAATTTGGCAGAGTTATTTCTATTGAAAATGATGTAAATAGGTTCAAATTTGGATATAGTTCCCATATATATCTTCAACCGATTTCGTGTTAATTGTTCACCAAATGGCCAATATCAGTCCAAATTATCTGAATTTTGGCACATTCGTCCGAATTCAGTCTAGAAGCAAGTACATCAAATTTTGAGAAAACAGGTTCATATATAGCTATAGCTCCCATGTATATGTTTCATCCGATTTGGTCTATAAGTCTCTCACATTCGTAATATGAATTCGACAACAATGATATTGGTACCAGATATCGGAAATACATTATACGCACAAATGGGGCTATACGAAGACGTGGTGCTGGATAAGTAATTTTTTGTCATAGGCTGTACTAACGATTTCGAAATTTGACACAATTCCGGTGAATAATGTCGCTAATATCATCAAAATACCGAATATCAGGAGGTACCGTTGTATGAGGGCTATACTAAGACGTGGATCTGCATAAACAATTTTCCGTCATAGATTGTAGTACCTATTACGAACTTAAAATACGAAATTTGACGCAATACCGGTGAATAAGGCCGCAAAAATCCTGGAAATACCGAATATCTCAGGGTAGCGTTATATGGGTGCTATACTAAAACGTAGACCTATATAGACAATTTCCAATCTTCCACAGGGTAAAGTACTCAGAGGAAAATCCTTGTGTGCATTTTCAGACTATTCCATTAAATAAAGTGGCTAATATCATCAACATACCGAATATTGGGAGGTTCCGTTATATAAGGACTATACGATGTAGACAATTCTTTTTCAGGGAGTAAAGTAGTCACAAGTTCTCCTTGTGCAGAATTTCAGACAATGCCATTGAACATGTGGTTAAAATCATCAAAATACCAAATATCGGGGGGTGCACTTATATGCCTGCAGACAAAAGACGGAAAAAATTGTAGCTTCCTATATTTATTCGTTTCCACTATAGCGTGATTACAACAGACGAACAGACGGACGGACGGGCTAAATCGTCTTAGAATTTTACCCGGATCAAGAATATATATATACTTTGTTGGGTCTAAAATTATTACTTCGATGAGTTACAAATGGAATGACGAATGACGAAGGTATAAAAAGGTCGTTTTCGTGTTAGAAATATATAAAATGAATTTATCCACATATCTCTTTGGTATGTTTATAGCATACTTTTGGGCGCTTTAGTTTTATTTAAAAAAGTAACTGAGAACCTTGCCTAGAAAATACAGCAGCATAATTATAGCGATTTTTGTCTGAGCTGTTATGGCGTAACACCAAAAATCAAACTTTAGCACTTTTATAGCATACTTTTGGCGCTCCCTGCCTTAAGAGTGCCAAAAAATATCGTATTCCAATAGCCGCATTTAACATTACAGTTGTACAGGAACCCAAAAAAACTCATTTAAATTTGACTCTCACCTGTTGTGTAATCTGGCCTTAAACGCAGGACTTTAGTAGCAACATAATGTAATAATACAATCAACTTCAAAACAATTTTGAACATGCCATATATTTTTTCTACTTTTACTTGAAAAAAATAATCACTACAAAATTTTTTGAAATTCTGTAAATATCATCTGTGGCATTTGCAATAAACAAATGATTTGAAAAGCGTTCAAACATTTCATTTCTTATTTTTTTTTTTTTTTCATTTTATTTTGTAATTAGTGCTATAAATTTGTTTATAACTTTGAAATGCTTTCAAAAAACAATATATATAATAATATTTTTACATTTCCATATTTTTTTTCTACCTTTAATTTAGAATCGTAATACGGAAAATCTTGGTACACCCGGTACACGCACCAGCAGTGTTTTACCCGATTTGCTTAGTCAAGCTTCGCCAGCAACTCCGCCACGTCACGACAAATCATCCAGTGAAGAGGTAAGTGAATTCGTTGCCTTTGCCAACGTTTCTCGTTTAAGCTACATTTTTTGGATTTAATTTCTAGTATTCACTTAAAGTAATTCGAAAATTAGTTGGATAATTTGTTTATTCTTGTATAATTTATTATAATACACACATACGTAATACATAATGCCTTAAACAGATTATATTACAACATATCCGCTACATACATATAAGTTATCATTGTGTTTTGTCAATTTTGTTTATCCGTTCCTAGTTGAGATTTGATTTAAATTAATTATTATTTTCGTTGTTGCATTTTCACTTCAAAAATAAAAAAATAAAATCCAAAACATTTATAACAAAATTGTTGCAACAAGTCAATGTTGTGACAATGGCATTCAGTCTATTGTCCCTCCCCCCAACAACCTGTGTTTGTCTGATTCAGTCATTTTCTTCATTCATATGTGCCACCCAAAGTGTGGAAGTCAATTATTATTTCTATTTTAGTTTGTCTTTGTTCCGTTTCATTTTTATATTTGTTGTTGCTTTTTTCATTTTCAATATTCACATAATTCCCCCTGTCCCCAATCAGTTATCTACTAATTTAATTTAATTCATTTTAATACAAATCCTTATTATTTTTTTATATTTTTAAATTATTTTTAAATTAGAAAACATTGAGGTATGGGTTTTTTGAGAGCCTTAAGACAATACTAGATTTAATTCAAAATTTTGTAACTAATTTCAAACACAAACAGCTGTATGGTGTTGTGGTTTTTTTAAGCAAATTTCATATCAACAAAACACATACACAGGCAACTTTCACCTAGGATACAAAAAAAAAACACTTTTTAGGGAAACTAAACTAATATTTCTATAGGAACATTAGAATTGTATTTCAAATGTATAGTTTTTTTTTAATTTTAATTGTTAATAAGCAAGACTTTTTTGGGCGGTCAAAATGTAGAGAGGTTTACTTTTAGAAAATCAAACTTGTAGACTCTATTGGAAGAAGGTATTTATCTCAGGACCTATTTTCCATATTGGAACAATTGGAATAAATACATAGAAAAAATGGAATAGAAAGAATTTTATTTCAATTACAAACTAATTAAGGCATTTTGAGGGATAGAGCAAATATCTAAGTGAATTCATACGACGTTATAATTTAATTTTTATAAGAACAACTCTTCTATCCACAGAAGTCCTGCAAAAGGTCTTGCAGTCGTAGAAGATCTGTGAAAAAATTTCTCAATCTAACGATGATCTGTGAAAGATCTATCATCGATAAAACCCCCCACACAACACTTTCGTTTGCAGATTCACAGTAAAAGGTTTCTCTACATGGATGATCTGCAAAAAGTTTTTCTTTCTCCAAGAAGTCTTATAAATAATACTCTCCCCCTAAAAAACCTTAAGAAAGTCTTCTGTCCATAGAAGACCTGCATAAGGTATTGGCTGCATAAATACCTACAAAAGTACTTCTCACTATAGAAAACATAGAAAAAAATCCATAAAATGTCTTCTTTCCATAGAAGATCCGTAAGAGTCTATATAAAGGCTGAAAGTTTTTCACAAAAAAAAACATAAAATTAAAAAAAGTAAGAAAGCTGTAAGTTTGGCCGAGCCGAACTTTGAATACCCTCCACCATTTGGAACGAAATTCGCATTTTTCAAAAAAAAATTAAAAACCATTAAAAATGTTGTTAACATTTTAAAAATAACGAATGTAGCCGTTATATTAGGGTTTGTGCGACGTAGACCGTCATAGGCAACTTCTGTCATAAGCCATTACAATATTCAAATGTTTCTATTACGAACTTCAAATACAAATTTTGAAACAATTCCGCTTAATAATGTCGCTAAAATCATCAAAATACCGAAAATTGGGAGGGAGGTACCGTTATACGGGGCCTATATGAAGACTTGGACCTGCACAGACACTTTTTTGTTATACATTGTAGCACCTATTACAAACTTGAACTACATACCATAGGCTGTAGTTTCCATTACAAACTTCAAATACAAAATTTGAAACAATTCCGGTGTATGATGTCGCTAAATTCAAAAAAAAAATATATCGAATATAGGGAGGTATCATTATATGGGGGCTAAACGAAGACATAGACCTGCATAGGCAATTTTTTGTCATAGGCTGTAGTACTTTTTACGAATTTTAAATATGAAATTTGAAATAATTCCAGTAAAAAATATCGCTAAAAGCATCAAAATACCGAATATTGGGAGGTCCCGGTATAAGTGGGCTATATGAAGACATAGAACTGCATAGGCGATTTTTTGTCATAGGCTGTAGTATCCATTACGAACTTCAACTACTAAATTAGAAATAATTCCGGTAAAAATATCGCTAAAATCATAAAAATACCGAATATTGGGAGGTTCCGTTATAAAAGGGGACTATACCAAAACGTGGACCTATGCAGACAACTTTCTGTCATAGTATCCATTTCGTACTTTAAATACAAAATTTGAAACAATTCCGGTTTATCATCAAAATACCGAAAATTGGGAAGTCCCGTTATAAGGGAGCTATGTGAAAACGTAGACCTACATGACCCATTTACGAACTTAACCTGCCTACTGGCAAAATACACATGTGTGCCAAGTCTCTTTTAGCCTTCTATCTCAATTCGTTCAGAAGATAGCGTGATCACAACAGACAGACGGACATCGCTCAATCGACTTAGATAAAATTCAAGAATATATATAATTTGTTGGGTCTGACATGAGTATTCCCATAGTGTGGTGGAGGGTATAAAAAATCATGAAATTTTTATTTCAATTGATAATACGGTTCATATAGTTTAATGTTTGAAGAATATTTCATGCAAATGATGACCGCGACAGCGCCCCAAATGGTCCATCCGCTCAGTCCAATTTTGGCATACTCTTTCCAACATCTCGGCCAACATCACTGCTTCAATATTGTCTTCCTATGCGTCAATTGAAGCGGGCCCGTCGATAAAGAAGACCATAACCTGGGTTATTCAAAGAATGTCTCATTATTATTTTTTTATTCTTATTTCTTAGACAGGGTTTCCTTTTTTTTAAGTAGCCTCTTTATGTGCCATTTATTTTTTTATTTTTATATTGTAGTTACAATTTCTACTGGTAGATTATGTTTTTATTAATTTTTAGAAAATAAATGTATATTTTCTTAATATTTTTCAAGTTAGAAATTATGCATACATTTTGAGTTTATTTTTCGTATTTTGTATTGTCATTTTATAATATCTATATTAATAATATTAATAACAACAACAACAACAAAATCCAAACATATATAAACCAAAAACCAATATTTTTCTTCATATCCATTGTGCTTTGTCTTTCCGCGACGTTTTCTTTTCTGTGAGCTGATGGCCACTGTATGAATTTTCAATATTCAATTAGGCAAATTTACCTAACAATCACAAAGAAATTGTAAGTATAAAACAAACAAATCAATAAAAAAAATTAAAACAAAAACAAACTGAAATTCTTAAAATTTTAAAATCAAAAACACCCTCATTTTGATTAGCTTAGTTTAAGATCGTCTCCTATATACTTACTTTTATAGACCAATAAAACCAAACCAAAAAAAAAACGCTCCGATCAAATCATTTCTTGTAAATTCCATACTATATACACATACATATAAATATTCTCTCTCTCCCTCTCTACTTTGTCTTTTACTCACCTGCTATAACGATTACATTTCGTTTTGTTTCGAGGATAAAATGCTATAAACACAAATTGAGAATGGTCAACAAACTTAGGCAAAAATTGAACTGAGAATTGAATTTTTTCGTAATGTGTTTATAGTAATTGAAACTCAAATAGAACTTGAATTTATCAGTCATAATTAATATCAAGGACTTAATGTGTGTATAGCTGGTCTCTAATCGTATAAAGTATTTCTAAACAGATATGTTGTTTATAATGTATAATATCTTTTCTGTTTACATTAGTGTATAATAAATTCTTATTTATGTAATTTAGTAATTTTTCTGTTTTGTAATATATTGTAAAATATGAACAAAAAAATTAAAATTTGCATATATTTTTGTTAATTCGCAATTCTCTACACCATTCCTAGGTGCTACGGAAGAAATTTCATTAATTTTCGTATTGGCAAAAATAATTATAGGAAAAATCTAGCAAAATCTAGCATTTATTGCCCGATCCAGATGAAATTTTGCACAAATCATTTGTTTGGCCCAAGGACGAACCCTATTAAAATTGGAGATAATCGAGATCGGTTCAGATTTGGATATAGCTCCCATATATATATATTTATCCGATTTCAAGTTAAATGTGCACCATGTGCGCAATACAAGCCCCAATTGAAAAGATACAAATTCTTTGGCACATTTAGTCCTTTGAACTTTAAATTACAATTATAATCATAGCTTGTATGTTTTATTTTATCCCATAAAAAACTTTTAATTGTTATGCGAAGCTCTAGTAAATATGGAAAGTGGTGTAGGGTATCATAAATTCGGCCCCGCCCTAGCTTAAGATTTTCTTTACTGGTTTTAGTATACATTTCCAAAAACCAACTCCATATCTCAATTGCAGATACCTCAATATCAAATTACAGGATTTAAAATCTTTAATTTGGCCCCATTACCAAGTTTAATAGCATTTCATATATAGTATGTATGTCTAAAACCAGCCCTCCTCACCAACTGTGACATCCATATGAAATTTCATCTCTATTCCTTCACCCAGTAACAAATATAGTATTATTTAGTATTTTTCGTGCAGTTATAGTTCCAGACTATCTCCATATCCCAACCTCAAATACCATCTGTGAAATTTAAGAACTGTAGCTCCGCTATTTTCCAAATTATTAAATTTAGTACCATTTAGTACAATTTTAGTACGCATATCGAAAAATGAGCTTCTTCTCTCATTCCCAGATGCCAACAGAGACCTCAATACTAAATTTCGGGATTCCAGCACCATTCCTTCACCCAGTACTAAATTTATTACCAAATAGTACTTTTCGTACAAATATAGGACATATT